AGCAGCAGATTAATAATGAATGAAAGTCTGTTTGCACAGAGACAGATGTGCTCTCTGAGCGAGGCTGTAAGTGTGTGTGTAGTTAAGAGTTCCTCAAACCGCTGCTGCATTCTTCATCATATGTATGTGTGAAGTGTCAGCGCTCGTCAGTGTGTGATATCAGCGAACACATTGACCCACATTCCTCTGAGAAAGCCTTTATTTTAGTCCATCCCTAGAATAGCAGCTGACTGAGAATAAACACCTCACAGCACTGAACTCACTCTGAACATCAGCACAACAGCAGAGAGAGAGAGAGAGAGAGAAAGGGGACGAGTGAGAAACTGAGAGAAATGAGAGTAGAGAGAGAGGAAGAGTGAGAAACTAAGAGAACTGAGAGAGTAGAGTGTGAGAAAGAGAGTAAGAGTGAGAAACTGAGAAAAAAGAGTAGAGATAGAGGAATAATGAGAAACTGAGAGAGACAGAGAGGGAGAGAGGAAGAGTGAGAAACTGAGAGAAATGAGAGTAGAGAGAGAGGAAGAGTGAGAAACTGAGAGAGACAGAGAGGGAGAGAGGAAGAGTGAGAAACTGAGAGAAATGAGAGTAGAGAGAGAGGAAGAGTGAGAAACTGAGAGAGACAGAGAGGGAGAGAGGAAGAGTGAGAAACTGAGAGAAATGAGAGTAGAGAGAGAGTAAGAGTGAGAAACTGAGAGATAAGAGTAGAGAGACAGGATAAGTGAGAAACTGAGAGAAATGAGAGTAGAGAGAGAGGAAGAGTGAGAAACAGAAATGAGAGTATAGAGAGGGAGGAAGAGTGAGAAACTGAGAGAAATGAGAGTAGAGAGAGAGGAAGGGTGAGAAACAGAAATGAGAGTAGAGAGAGGAAGAGTGAGAAACTGAGAGAAATGAGAGTAGAGAGAGAGGAAGAGTGAGAAACAGAAATGAGAGTAGAGAGAGGAAGAGTGAGAAACTGAGAGAAATGAGAGTAGAGAGAGAGGAAGAGTGAGAAACAGAAATGAGAGTAGAGAGAGGAAGAGTGAGAAACTGAGAGAAATGAGAGTAGAGAGAGAGGAAGAGTGAGAAACAGAAATGAGAGTAGAGAGAGAGGAAGAGTGAGAAACTGAGAGAAATGAGAGTAGAGAGAGAGGAAGAGTGAGAAACAGAAATGAGAGTAGAGAGAGAGGAAGAGTGAGAAACAGAAATGAGAGTAGAGAGAGGAAGAGTGAGAAACTGAGAGAAATGAGAGTAGAGAGAGGAAGAGTGAGAAACTGAGAGAAATGAGAGTAGAGAGAGAGGAAGAGTGAGAAACAGAAATGAGAGTAGAGAGAGAGGAAGAGTGAGAAACAGAGAAATGAGAGTAGAGAGAGAGGAAGAGTGAGAAACTGAGAGAAATGAGAGTAGGGAGAGTGGAGATAGAGAGAGAAAGAAAGAAAAGAGAAAGAGATAGTAGGGGGACAGAGAACAGAAGAGAAGACAAGTGAGCTCTTGGAGTCGGCTCATTTAGGCGAAAGTTGGGAGCTCACGTGGAAAACGAAGGCAGGTTAATGGTTCTGATGAAAAGCTTCTCTGAGTTGATGTGAGAAAAAGAGAGAGAGATCTTGTTTGTAGGCATTTGAAACAGAGATGGGCGGAGAGACAGAGAGACAGAGAGACAGGGTGATGGCTGAGCTCTCAGTGAAAGCCAGTGATGTGTGAGGATGTTATGTAAGCCGTTTAGGAACTGGGTCATACTCGATTGCTGTCACCTCCCATCACATCCTGAACACCCTTCATCATCCTCATCATCGCCTCGGAAACACTGGTTGTCATGGAGACTCACTATCACACCCAGCCATCTCGAATAAACTGTGACTGAATCAGAGGGAGAGTGTTTCTAATAAAGTGGCCAGTGAGTGGAGGAAAGGAGGTGTTTTGAATAAAGTGGACAGTGAGTGGAAGCTCAAGGGGGGTGTTTCTAATAAAGTGGCCAGTTAGTGGAAGTTGGGGGGGGTGTTTCTAATAAAATGGCCAGTTAGTGGAAGCACAAGGGGGTGTTTCTGATAAAGTGGCCAGTTAGTGGAGGCACAGGGTGGGGGTGTTTCTAATAAAGTGGCCAGTGAATGGAAGCTCAAGGGGGGGTGTTTCTAATAAAGTGGCCAGTGAGTGGAAGCACAAGGTGGGTGTTTCTGATAAAGTGGCCGGTGAGTGGAAGCACAAGGTAGGTGTTTCTGATAAAGTGGCCAGTTAGTGGAAGCACACGGTAGATGTTTCTAATAAAGTGTCAAGTAAGTGGAAGGGGGGGGGGATTGGGGGGTTTCTAATAAAGTGGCCAGTTAGTGGAAGCACAACGGAGGTGTTTCTATTAAAGTGGCCAGTGAGTGGAAGCACAAGGGGGGTGTTTCTAATAAACACCTAGAGTGTATAGATGTTTGTGCTTGTGTATGGAGGGTGTATCAGAGAGTGTATCAGCGATGGTGGAGAGCTGGTGGAGGCTGTTTCCGTGCTGTAGTCTGTTTGCTCTGTAAGCACTTCAGCTGCACAGAATCTCTCCCATATTAATGAAAGCACGCTGAGGAATAACCCGAGAGAAAGAAGAGAGAGAGAGATGTGGAGAGAGAGAGAGAATGTGTAAAATGCCAGAGGAGGTGTGCGTGGTGTTTCCTCCCACGCGTTGGGTGTTTTTCCACTTCTTCATAGCTGCGGTTCTCACCTCACTCTCTCTCGTCCTCCGATTCCCTCTCCTCGCAGCTCACACATACTACTATGTGTTTCCATGGTCTTCACTCTGAGCGTACGTGAGTGCTGTGCTGTCAGGGGGAGTAAAGACAACCAAACACCTTTCAGTGTTTGCTAAATCATTTAATAATACCAGCACATCTCTGCTGCAAAGGAAAACATCAGCTTTGTGCCTGGTGTGAACACCAGCTAATATTAATGTGAACACCAGCTAATATTAATGTGAACACCAGTTAACGTTAATGTGAACACCAGCTAACATTAATGTGAACACCAGCTAACATTAATGTGAACACCGGCTAATATTAATGTAAACACCAGCTAGCATTAATGTGAACACCAGCTAACGTTAATGTGAACACCAGCTAACATTAATGTGAACACCGGCTAGCATTAATGTGAACACCAGCTAATATTAATGTAAACACCAGCTAATTTTAATGTAAACACCAGCTAGCATTAATGTGAACACCAGTTAACATTAATGTGAACACCAGCTAACATTAATGTGAACACCAGCTAACATTAATGAGAACACCAGCTAATATTAATGTGAACACCAGCTAGCATTAATGTGAACACCAGCTAACATTAATGTGAACACAAGCTAACATTAATGAGAACACCAGCTAATATTAATGTGAACACCAGCTAATATTAATGTGAACACCAGCTAGCATTAATGTGAACACCAGCTAGCATTAATGTGAACACCAGCTAACATTAATGTGAACACAAGCTAACATTAATGTGAACACCAGCTAATATTAATGTGAACACCAGCTAGCATTAATGTGAACACCAGCTAATATTAATGTAAACACCAGCTAGCATTAATGTGAACACCAGCTAACATTAATGTGAACACCAGCTAATATTAATGTGAACACCAGCTAGCATTAATGTGAACACCAGCTAATATTAATGTGAACACCAGCTAACATTAATGTGAACACCAGCTAGCATTAATGTGAACACCAGCTAACATTAATGTGAACACCAGCTAATATTAATATAAACACCAGCTAATATTAATGTGAACACCAGCTAGCATTAATGTGAACACCAGCTAACATTAATGTGAACACCAGCTAATATTAATGTGAACACCAGCTAGTATTAATGTGAACACCAGCTGACATAAATGTGAACACCGGCTAACATTAATGTGAACACCAGCTAACATTAATGTGAACACCAGCTAGCATTAATGTGAACACCGGCTAACATTAATGTGAACACCGGCTAACATTAATGTGAACCCCAGCTAATATTAATATGAACAATGGCTAATATTAATGTGAACACCAGTTAACATTAATGTGAACACCAGCTAGCATTAATGTGAACACCAGCTAATATTAATGTAAACACCAGCTAGCATTAATGTGAACACCAGCTAGCATTAATGTGAACACCAGCTAACATTAATGTGAACAATGGCTAACATTAATGTGAACACCAGCTAACATTAATGTGAACACCAGCTAATATTAATATGAACAATGGCTAATATTAATGTGAACACCAGCTAATATTAATGTGAACACCAGCTAGCATTAATGTGAACACCAGCTAATATTAATATAAACACCAGCTAGCATTAATGTGAACACCAGCTAACATTAATGTGAACACCAGCTAATATTAATATAAACACCAGCTAATATTAATGTGAACACCAGCTAATATTAATGAGAACACCAGCTAACATTAATGTGAACATGTTAATGTGAAGCAAGAAAACTGTAATGTTATTGAAGTTGGTGCTGACAGACTTTCCTCTTACCAAGTGACTCACTTCCACTCTTATTTATTATAATATATTCTATTTCTGTTTCTCCTTTTTTCGTCTGTTTATGCTAATTTCTTAGGCGAGAGAGAGAGAGAGAGAGAGAGAGGCTGTGTGTGTTTGCAGACATAAAAACATTTTTTACATGGTGGGAATTTTTTAAATCTGTGGAAAACACTGTACTCTCTCTCTGTCTCTCTCTCTCTCTCTCTCTCTGTCAGTCTCTCTCTCACTCTCTCTCTCTCTCTCTGCGGTGTAATCAGCTCATTGGTGGGTTTGTTATCTCTCCTCTGCAGGACTGAAAGACTCACCGACATAGACTGAACCCTGACTGACTCTCAGCTCATCAAATATCAAATATCTCTCTCTCTCTCTCTCTCTCTCTCTCTCTCTCTCTCTCTCTCTGTCTGACATGAGACTAAAATAAATCTTTTTAAGGAACCTCCACATGATTCTAATAGTCTTCCAATGTCTCTCTCTCTCTCTCTCTCTCTCTTTCTCTGTATCCTTTTAGGCTAATTCTCCACCAGTAGTAGTAAATACAGACACTCTGGATGGATCACCTTATGTAAGTATGCTCCGCTGACGCTTTATATTATATCATATTACAATCACATAGGTATAATCATATATTATATTAAAGGGGAACTCCACCGATTTGTCGAACATTCTGCATAGATAAATGATTAAGATGCAAATAATGTCATGTAGAGTGGTTTGGTGTTAAATGCTCTGTTATAGAGAACCTGACCAATTGTTCACAGTGGTGGTGATAGGAACCAGACGTCCACCTCTAAAAGCTCCCTCACAGAAAGTTCCTACATGAAATGGTTATGAATTCACTGCCTGATGACTGAGACACTGTTTTATGATAGTTTTGTGAAAATGTATTTTAATCCATTCATGATGGTGGAGGGATACATACAGGGTGTTGTGAGGCAACAAAGTTCCCAAACTTATTATTTCCAGATTTATAACTATTTTACCTTCATGAACATTCCATCTAAATCTCATAAGACTCGTGGAGGTTCACTGGTGGTTTTGGATAGTAAATAAAATGTCTATATTTGTGTTGTAGTCATGGCGACCCCTGGTTCCTATCACCACCACTGTAAAGACATCTGAACCATTTCACATCTGAATCTCTCTGTTTACATTTCAAGGACTGAATTATTCAAATTTTTTGAAAAATTGGTGGAATTCTCCTTTAAAGCCCCCGACGGCCAGCAGAGGGCGCTCTAGCAAAGCTGCTCCTGCAGCGTGTATGTGTCCCCATGTTGCCAATATTTGAAGTTCTTCTTTTTTATGATGGGGCAGAATCAAAGGTACTTTTTTAAATGTATACAGAGAACAGCAGTGATTCTTCATAATATAACACATTTCTGTTTGAAAATATAAAATAAAACAAGGGTAAAGTCCAAAATACAATAATAATAATGCAGACCTTGCTATTTGAGGCCTTAACATGTTGTATATACCACCTCATGACTTTGTGTGTGTAAGTCATCAGTGGGAGATGTTTACAGAGAAAACTCTGCTACACAAGCTAATATCAGTCACTGTCAACATAATAAAACGTCCACATGAATATTTACGCATGTAATGCATTGTCACCTGAAATTGGTCACTGACTGCGTTTACATGCACTTAATAATCTGATAACTGCAGAAAATCAGATTTTGTCAGTAACTGGTTCGGTGTGTTTACATGCACAGCCAATAAACTCACAGAAGACGTGAAATAAACGTAATGTAAAACTCAAACTAGGTGAAAATATGAACATACATCATCTAGAAGATGAAGAATATTTAAATCCTTCATTTCGTTGAGCATGTAGTTTCAGCGTAGCTCCAAAAGTGTTTTGCTGCGTCTTTCGCAGCGATGCTGCTCGCTTATTTCCAGTACCGCCGTCCGTTTTCACACATGAGCAGACTAAGAAACCCGAAAGAAATCAAAGTAAGAGTTCACATGCACTGGGAAGTCTGATTACTGAGCTAAAATCCAGCCTCTTTATCGGATTCTTAATCAGATTTTTAAACTGTTTACGTGAACATTTGAAAAATCTGATAACTGCAGAAATTCGATTATGATTGGATTGTAATGTCGCAGGAAAACATGTTCATGCTAACATTGACATTAGATACAAAATATTCTGTGTTATTGCAGGAAAATTTGCCGAACTTTTTCATATTTTTGTTATATCTGCATTTTTCTGGAATGTGTTTTTCAGGTCAACGGGACGGAGGGGGAGATCGAGTATGAAGAGATCACGTTGGAAAGAGTGAGCACTCTGAGTTTATATGAGAATGTGTTATTAAATAATACATATGTACGTATTGGGACACAGGGTTGGTGGCCATAGTGC